AGAGTACCATCTCAAACAAAAGCTTAAGCTGGTTGAGGTCCAAAAATATGTTTAACTACATCCGTATTTTATTAGTTGACATGTTTTGACTTTAGCACTATATATTCACACACTTCCCTTTGACCATGTTTTGTAATTATACGTAATGAAAAATATAATCATGTGTGATCTTGTTGATTCGTCACGTTATATATTTTCATAATATCAAATTTTTATAATTTTTACTTAACGATAATTAAAGATATTAACGGTTGAAATTGTGCATTGGTAAACGTGACTAAAGAAACGTGTCAACTAAAAAGAAACGGAGGAAGTATACTCTATCACTCCACCTCACATGAAAGACTCTTTGGACTTGAAATGTAAATGTAACATGGGCCGCGCTTTTCACATACCTTGCGCAAAATATTCCACTTGAAAGTGTGGCTGGGGTGGATGAGATTCAAACCTGTGACCTTTGAGTCACGCTGTCTCTGATACCATGTTAGTAGAACATCTTAACCAAAAGCTTAAGTTGATGGTTGAGGTACAAGAATATGTTTTTTTTTTAAATAACAAGCTGCGAGAATTTCATTAAAGTAGATCAATTTCCGCCAAAGTAATCAAGATTTGAGGAAACGGACCAAGAGAAACAATTTCATTACAATCTCTAACATCCCATTTTGCAACATTATGGGCTAGAGTATTACTCGCACGCTTAATATGAGATAAAGAAAACAAGACAAAACTAGACGCCAACATACTAATATCATCAAATAGCAGAATAATAGGAGAAAAGCCTATTGACTTCGACAATATTGCCTTCACCACTGACTCAGCATCACACTCAAGGTGCACCCTTGTAAATCCCAACCTCCTCGCTAATAGAAATCCATAACGAAAAGCAGCAGCCTCTGCCAAATCAACCCCCCACCCAGCACTTTTAGCACGCACAGCTGATTTTCACCACGACTTCAGTTGGACAGCTCAGCACCACACCCAGACCCGTGGCAGCTCCCAAATGAGCACCACAGTTGATTTTCACCACGACTTCAGTTGGACAGCACCAACTGCTAGGGGATCAGCATAGCTGTGGGACAGAATTGCTAACCTTCACACCATACTCATTACATTTTGAAAATAAAGTAATCAGAGATAATTTTATCAGCAAAGCTTGTTGTTTTCTTTTTTATTCAGGTTTAAGTGTACACTACTTTTGTGAGTATAAAATTGCTCTCATTCTTCTCACTTGGCTGCGCAGCCTTACAAGGATATTTATATCACTGCTCCTTACAATCCCTAGATACATTCTAACCTATGAATACATATCATTCTAGAGAAAATACACCAAGATAACAACTGTCACCAATGAAATAGAGCCACTGCAAATAAGACAAAACAGTCACATGTCTATCATGTGACATACAACCATTCTACAATTCTACATCCCCCCCCCCTCAAGTTGGAGCTTGGGGTGAGAAACAAGACCCAACTTGAAAGAAAGAAAGTTATGTTGTTGCTGAGTGAGATATTTTGTCAAGATGTCAGCCAATTGATGAGCTGACTGAACATGGACAGTTGTGAGGAATCCTTCTTCTATGTGATATCTCACATAGTGACAATTAATGTTGAGGTGTTTATTCCTCTCATGAAAGATAGGATTTTGAGCTATGTGCTTAGCTGACTTGTTGTCACAGTGCAGCGGAATAGGCTTCTGAACTTGCACCTTCAAATTCTGTAGAATATCATCAACCCATACCAATTCACTAGTGGTATGTGACATACTTCTATATTCAGCCTCTGTGGATGACTTAGAAACAGTCTTTTGCTTTTTAGTTTTCCAGGAAACTAGACATTTCCCAAGAAATGCAGTATCCTGTCAAAGATCTAGCACTGAAAGCACAGCTCCCCCAATCAGCATCAGAGTATCCCTGAATTTTCAATTCAGATTCACTAGGATAAAATAATCCCCAGTCTATTGTTCCTTTCAAATATTTCATGACATGAATAGCAGCTTGAAGATGAGGTTTTCTAGGGCATTGCATAAATTGAGACAGTTGCTGCACTGAGTATGAAATGTCAGGTCTTGTGATATTCAGACACATCAGTTTTCCAATGATTCTTTTGTAAATTTCAGGTTCTTGAAGAACCTCTCCACTGTCAGTTGATAGTTTCATCCCCTTAGGGAAAGGGAATTTAGCAACTTTGCAGTCTTCAATTCCATTATTCTTCAAGATATCGAGAATATATTTTCTCTGGTTCAAGATAATTCCATGCTCATTCCTATCAATCTCAATCCCGACAAAGAATCTCAGCTCACCAAGATCCTTAATGGTGAATTCTTTGTCTAAATTCTTCTTCACCCTTTCTATTTCTTCTAAGTCATAACCTATTATTAGAAAATCATCTACATATGCTATAATGATTGCTTGCTTTCCATTCTCTTCTTTTGTAAAAAGGGAATAATCTTTCTTGGACTGAATGTATCCAAGTTGTATCAAAAATCCCTTTAAAGCACAATTCCAAGCTCTTGAAGCTTGTTTCAGACCATAAATGCTTCTCACCAATCTGCAAACCTTTCCTTCATCAGCTTTCTTATATCCCTTTGGAGGCTTCATGTATATTTCTTCCTCAAGATACCCGTGCAAAAAAGCATTATTTACATCCAGGTGCTGCAACTTCCATCCTTTGATAGTAGCAAGTGCTATCAAAATTCTTACTGTACTTAATTTTTCTGTTAGGGAAAATGTATGTTTATAATCCTTTCCCTTTATTTGCTTGTCACCTCTAGCTACTATTCTTGCCTTTAATCTAACAACATTTCCTTCTCTATCACACTTCACCTTATACACCCACTTACAATCAATGGCTCTTTTACCCTCGGGAAGAGTCACCATTTCCCAGGTTCCATTTTTCTCCATTGCCTGGAACTCCTCTTGCATTGCTGCTTCCCATCCAGGATGTCCTTGAGCTTGTTCATATCTATCTGGCTCAGTCACGTTGATTATTTTGCTCATGAAAGCAATATAATCAGGAGAGTGATTTTTCATTCCTTTTACAGCATGGACTGTAAATGCTCCAAATTCATCTGATTCACCTCACATACTAGGAATCTTATAGATGTAATCCTTGAGCTTCTTAGAGACAGTTCTCTCTTTCTGATCTTCTTGTCTCCTTAGGTTCTGCATTTTCTTCCTGAACAGGCATACTTTCTGATGCAACTTCTTGTTCTACTGCTGCACTTTCGTCACTGTGAAAAATCTGTTCAGAAGTTTCAAAATCCATATGTACATATTCACTAGAATCAAACAAATCTAGAATTTCTAAACTTTCTTCAATAAGAGATTTATCGCCACCACCTTCATTATTTCCTTCTTGATCTTCTGAATTGATATCTGGAAGTGAAAGAAACACCTATTTTTGCAAATTTTGCAGAATCGGTTCTTTTTTATTGAGAAAAGGAAATATTCTTTCCTCAAATTTTACATCCCTGCACATATAGTCATATAGATCTTTCTCTTTTCTAAGTCAAAGAGTTTATAACCCTTTTGACCATAGGGATACCCTATTAACACAGATCTTATTCCCTTTTCACCAAATTTATCACTCTTTTTAACAGTACGTAAACCATAACATAAACACCCTATGATTCTTAGGTGATCATATTATGGTTTCTTTTTATTCAATCTCTCAAAAGGTGTCTTCCACCCTAAGACTGAACTTAGTAACAAATTAATCAAATAAGTCGCAGATAAAATACATTCACCCTAGAAATATCTAGGTAACCCTGCATGCAATCTAATTGCTCTTGCAGTTTCGAGAAGGGATCTGTGTTTTCTTTCCACTCTTCCGTTCTGCTGAGGCACTCCTGGTATACTTCTCTGATGTAAAATTCCTCTTTATGCTAGAATTTTACCACATTTTGACTGAAAAATTTCAGTCCCATTATCACTTCATAAGGTTTTCACCTTGCATTCATATTGGTTCTCAACAAAATTCAAGAAATTGTTGAGAATTCCTTTTACCTGTTCTTTATTGGACAACAACTGTGTCCATGTTGCTCTATTATAGTCATCAACTATAGTTAAGAAATAACTTGCACCTGTAATGTTCTTGACCCTATAAGGTCCCCATAAATCGACATGGATTAACTCAAAAATTCTGCTAGCAATAGTATTGCTTGGTTTAAAAGGCATTCTATGATGCTTTGCCACACAACAATTATCACAAAAATATTCACTTAAATTCTTACAACCACAAAAGCTCAAATGTTTCATTTTTGATAAAGACACATGTCCCAATCTAGCATGCAAAATGCTCCAATTTTCCTTCCTACTAACATTATTCACAGAAAATTTTCTATTAGATCTACTCTTCTCTTCATTCTGTCCAAAATTCAGCCTATAGATTCCTTCTTCACTTCTTCCTTCAGCAATCACTCTCTTACTGGTAGGGTCCTGTATCAAGCACCCATTTTTATCAAAATTCACCATACATATTCCATCTTCTATTAACTTACTAACTGACATCAAATTATGCTTGAAATCAGGTAGTAACAGAACATTTTTTAGCACAATATTATTTGTCAACTTTACTGATCCTATCTCCTTCACATTCTTGACTTGCCCATCGGGAAATCCTACTTTTACAGGAAATTTCAAACTTCTTATTTCAGTGAACAAACCTCTAGTTCCGACCATGTGGTCTGAAGCACCATAATTAACTATCCAGCTACCAGGATAAAAAACTTGAAAGTAATGTCCTACATTAGTGGCTAAGAGATTACTTGCAAATTTATCCAAATGTTGCTTCTCACTCATTGCCTTCATGACTTCCTGCACCACGGTTGATATCAGGCTAGGATCTAGTTTTGTTCCACTGCATTCACCATTGTCAAAATTCTTGTCGAGAGGGGTTTTACTTGCAGGCTCAGCATTCTATTTGTTGACATTTGCAGCCACCTTTTTGCTCTTTCCTTTTGGTGGGTTCTTGAACCAATATGGATACCCCAGGAGCTTGAATCATTCTTCCTTAATGTGACCTTTCATCAAGCAATAATGGTCACATTTCTTCTTCATTTTGGCTTCCTCGAATTCTCTTCTCTGCCAATTGTTTGTTGGTTGTCTTTTCACATTCATTACACTGACTTTAGTATTTGTGCTCATGTTTCCAGTGATTTCTTTCTGTTTTTCTTGTTGTTGAACAAGATGAAAAACTCTGTTCACTGGTGGTAATGGCTCCATTGCAAGAATGTTTCCTCTTATGTTCTCGAAACCTTCATTCAATGCCATCAGGAACTGAATGAGCTTGTTCAGTGACTCTACATCAGCCAATTTCTTCATAATGTTGCATGTGCATTTGCTCATTGCTCCACATGTACACTCTGGTATTCCTTCAATAGAAGAAATATGATCCCATAAATTCTTGAGCTTGCAATAAAAATTGCCAACTGCTTGATTCTCTTGCTTCAAGTCACTCAGCTCTTTCTTAAGTTGATAGAGCAAAGGTGCATTAGTCTGCCCATATCTCTCCTTGACTTCATCCCATAACTCCTTGCAAGTTTCCAAGTAAATGAGACTTTCAGCAAGTTTGTTGTCATTGAAGCTAAGATCCATCCTCTTATTGCATTATCATTCCTGTACCACTTCCCATAATCTGCATGACCTGGTTTTGGCCTCTTCAGCTTACCATCAATGTATCCCAGCTTGTTCCTCGAACCCAAAGCCATTCTTATGCTCCTGGTCCAGTTTAGGTAGTTCTCACCGTTAAAAATGATGATTTCTGGTTGCTGATTAGAACTATTATGGCCAGAGTTGGCCATATAGTAAGGATCTGCGTAAGCATTTCCAGTCACATTTGCACCAGATTCATTTGTTTCTGCCATCTTTGAACTTCAAAGATTGAAACTTTTGGATTGTTATGGTGATTTTACTTATTTTTTAGCGTTTTCTGCTCTGATACCATGAAAATAAAGTAATCAGAGATAATTTTATCAGCAAAGCTTGTTGTTTTCTTTTTTATTCAGGTTTAAGTGTACACTACTTTTGTGAGTATACAATTGCTCTCATTCTTCTCACTTGGTTGCGCAGCCTTACAAGGATATTTGTATCACTGCTCCTTACAATCCCTAGATACATTCTAACCTAGGAATACATATCATTCTAGAGAAAATACACGAAGATAACAACTGTCACCAATGAAACAGAGTCACTGCAAATAAGACAAAACAGTCACATGTCTATCATGTGACATACAACCATTCTACAATTCTACACTTTCCCTCACCAAATTTACCTACCCTTTTGGCACTTCAACATCCTTAAATGTTGCTTGCTCGAAAATAGTTATATTCCTGCAATGCCACGAGGCTCAAGCTAGAGCTGCCATAGTAATAAACTCCTCCTTCGACACCTTTGAAGACAACCACAATAGCCTCTCACAAAAGCTACCAGTAGGGGCATCCCGTATGCAATCAACGAAAGGGCTGGTAGCCCATATCTCTTTTGCTGCAACACACTCAAAGGTGGCATGAATTATAGATTCATCATGGGCATTACATTTCGAGCATGTCTTCTTTGGGGTAATGTGGCGAAAGAATAGACGTTCCTTTACCGCGAGAAAGCCTTTACAAGCTCTCCACAAGAAATGCTGCAGTTTTGGAGGGCATCTTAAAGACCAAATCAGTCGCCAAACATCTATTCTTTATCATGAATTCTCAACTTAATTACATCGATTTGCGCATGATTTTATCATGAATTCCCAACTTAATTTCATTTTAGAAAGTATATATAATGCTTATACATAGCCCTAAAGGCTATATATATCATTACCCTAAAATAATTAACCTCGTATACCTTTTAATGTCACACTAACTATTATTTCAACCTAATAACCTTAATTATAATATTGAACTTTTTTTTTATTATTATTAATAAAACAATCATATTATCTCTAATGTTGGAGATCCACAATAAATTAGTGCGAACAAGATCCATTTAAGAATTTGTGTTCAGTGGCGGATCCAGGATTTTTGAACTAACTTATGAGTCACCATCAATAATTGATCACTTGTTTCAATCCAAAAATTATATAAAAAATTATATTTCACCAAAATTATATAAAAATAATAGGATCTAAAAATACATACTATAAAACTATTACATTAAACTAACTTTATGATTTTTCACTTAAAAACAAGAATTATAAAAAAAAAAAAGTTAGATAACTTAAGAGACCGGTTATTAAATATAACAGGTCTCTTCAATGAAATATGGCCATATGGGCGCAAAAAATTATTCTGACAAAAAGAGACCTGTTATCTACTACTACTATTAGCTAGATAACAGGTCTCTAATGACGTTGGCAATAGCAGCAACAAAGAGCCACCTATCTGATATTTTAATAGGCGGTCTCTTTGATATTTAAAAAACTGACAGTGAATCTCAAATAGAAGCAGCAAAGAGACCGCCTATCTGTAATAGGCGGTCTCTTAGTTTTTTTTTTTTTTTTTTTTTTTTTTTTTTTGCTGGTGAGTCACGTGACTCACTGTGCACCTTAATAGATTTGCCCCTGTTTGTGTTACACTACTAGTACAATACTACTCCATATTACTTTTGTCTCGAGAAGATCGGTGTTCTTCGAAAGTTGTGGTGTTCAAAACGAAACTTTGACTAGCTAATAGTAGTATATACCCATTTATTGCTTTGTAGAATTTTCATAAAACATGAAACTCTACTGCAATACATTATGATAATTTGTACTACTACGTACCAAAAATCAATATTTAGAGATGGAGTACTTCAATAAGAGTATATAAATTGTGACAAAAACTATTTTGGAATATATGGAGGACATATTTAGTACGTATAGGAGAAGAAAAACTCTACAATTGCATGTCGAATGACTATAGCTAGCGTACAGTGGCCTTCATATATATAATTCTCCTTATATCAAAAATATTAAAATCAATCATTTATAATGTCTAATTATTGTCTACGGTACTAGTTATTGAACAATTTATTACTGATTTAATACTTTAAATTAACAAATTTAAAAGTAGTAAGATGATACTTATATATTCAAAACATACGCGTAATCACCTAGCTTAATCTTATTGAATAATTTGATAATTATAATGGTATTCTATACTCTCTTTGTTGCCTAAGCCTTGAAGATCTTCCCATTTGCAATTTTGAACGGCTTCCTACATAAATAAACGAGGGAGCAATTTCCAATTTTCCATTACTCATTTGAATGTTAATTGTTCAATAAGATTAGGGTTTTTTGCATTGGTTAGTTGTTCAATTGCTATGGGAGAAATCTTAATGAGTATATTAGCAAAATTAACAAGTGTGAATACGCGCATTGTCTACATCATCGGCTGTATAGTATAATGGATACAAATAAATCTCAAAATCGAAAAAAATGTTTTAAGATCGTGTTAAAAAAAATAAAAATAAAATAAAAAAGGGAGTAACTTAATGAATGAACGACTTGAAAATTCTTTGTCGGTTACATAAACAGACTTGTACTTCATTTACTTTGATGTCATGATGGTGTACATGAATTTCCTTGTTATATCAATGCTCCCTCAAGTGAAATTCTTATTAAATGCATGCATCTAATGTCATGTGTTTAATTTTGGATTATAATACAGGGATGTTTAAACAATCGACCATATATAATTGACTACTTCGTCTCTTATTTTCCATCATGCAAATCTAGATGTTGTATTGTAAATTGGAAACAACATTTTTTACAAGATACTCAATATTCAAGATAAAATAAATCGATTTCATGATAGAGCATACTATTTCCGTTCCAAATTTATCCGATTTTCTTATAGTTTGTGGGGTTCAAAACAAAACTTTGACTGTAGCATATAACTCCGTACTTAATAATTATTTCATAAAACATGAAATTATACTTACATACATATGTATTGAAATTATCTTATTACATGTTAATTAGTATTCAAAAATTCAATTTTTTTGACAAAATCTTCGGTGGAACGAAAAAAGTACTTAATTCAAGATAAAAGAACGGAGGAAATATTTAGATTTTGATAAGAAAAAAGAGGCTAACACCTAAGTAGTCCTCAAAACACAACTGCAAGTATAGTCGAATTGTTTGAGTGACTACGTTGACAAGTCTAACACAGTTAGCTAGAGTTGTTGAAGATCCTACCCTTTTGGCTTTTACTTATAGAACGCTTCAAAATTCAAAAATTCAAAGTCAAAGATCAGGAAAAAAAGGGGATTTTCAGGTAAGATTAAAATATACCTGGTCAAAAATTAATTGAATAAGTAAAATCTAAAGTAACCTTTTTTCCAATAATTTATTCATCAATATGAACAAAAATACATCATTTTTAAACCAAAAATGGTAAAAAAATAAAATAAAATAAAATCACACCATACTATATTATGCAAAATTCATTCACTTTTAATTTTTTTTCACACCTGAAAACAAATCTATAATAACATTGTGTATAATTATTGTACCAAGGAATAAAAGTATAATTTTTATCTCAAAAAGATGATAAAAATTTTGTACATTTCATATTGTATAAGCTATATTGAAGAAAAAAAAAAAAAAACCAAACCAACCAAAAATAATGTAAAAAAAATGAAGAAATAAATAAAAGGAGATGGAGAAATTGAAGAAGTCAGCTGTACATGATCTGATATTCTTGAGTTTAAAAATTAACAAAAATGAATCAAAAACAAGAAAAGAATAAACTTTATGATAGTATATATGACTAAAAACCTACTAAAAAATCAGCAAGATGATGATGACTTGATCTTCTTATTTCTTCAATTATGAACAGAATCAACCATAGAATTGTGCCGTTTAGATGGACCGGAAGGCGGTACACGACGTCCTCTAGGAAGAAAATTGAACACGAGCCCTCGAGTCGTGGTCTCGTGCTTCCTCCTTGGATGCTTTAATTGGAAAGAATTCATCGTCGTCGTTGTTGTTGTTGTAGGCGGGCGTGCCATCATAATTCGTCCGGCTCGAGCCGTGGCACACGAGTTAATGATGATGAGAATGAATACCGTTATGAGAAGGTAGAGTTGCTTGTGTTTATAAGTAGCCATAATAATGGAAGCAAATTTTTGACAAATGAAATTGTTAGCGAAAGATAGAGTTGGTGGTATATTTATATGAGAAAAAGAGAGATTTGGTTGAGTGTAAAAGATGGAATTTGGTATGTCAATTATATATATACAAGTAATATAAGTATGCCATGCAAAAATATATGGGGGTAAAATTGGAAAATGTTATATGACACGGCAACTAATTTCGAGGAATTGTTGTATGAATGTCAACGAAAATAATGGGAAATATTAGTATACTATTGTAATTAATTAATGAAAAATATAGAAAATAAAAAGGAAAATAAAAAGAAAGATATGAATTGGTATGTATAGTTTTCTTGTGAAATTGAGAATTTTATTGTGTAAAGTGGGTAGGTGCCGGCTTAGATATGGTGTTCCCTATAGGGGAAAAACAAGTAATTGTATTATTGGTCAAATAATATGACTAAGCCAACTTATTTGGATGGAGTTTAATTTTTTTTTTTTGTGTATGTATTGGAATGTTTTTTTCTTAATTACACTTGTTTAAAATATGATTTTATAAAGTTAGATATGTGATTATGGTGAGCTTAAGCTATGGCATGAGATCACCTCTTCCCACCACACCCAAAGTGAATTCAACAAGATCCTTTTTGGAAAAGTATAGCCACTATTTATTTATTTATTATTTTTTTTTATAGTATCATACTTTTATAAAGTTTAGTCATCCCTGGCGGTTTTATTCTTGCTTGCTTACATACATGATACATATATTAGTGAATTAATATCTCCGTTTTTTTTTTAT